GGGTGGGGGGGGATACTGCGGAGGGGGAGTGGTGTACTGAGGAGGGGGGGCACCGCCATAAGGAGGAGGGTACTGCACAGGTGGCGGGGGTGGAAGGGATGCCGGGGCGGGGGGAGCTGGAGCTGCACCGTTTTCCAGGGGGGGAGTGGGGCCGTCCGCAGCAGGGAATGGTGGGGCGCCATCAGGCGGGGGGGCGTCAGCAAAGAGGGTGTGTGGGCGATTTCTAAGCGCTGCGGGATTGCTGGAGGCTAGGAGCCGCTCTGCAAGCCAGACACGGGGTCAGCGTCAGCAGGAACCCGCGCATTTGGCGCCCCCCAAGGATTTCGACACTTAAATCATGCCGTATTCGGATAAGGCGGAAGGCACAGCTGGAGAAAGCGACAGAGCAATTTGGGTGAGGACAATGGGCCATGTCCCGGCACGCAATGAAACTACCACTCAACAGTGTCAAAAGGTTTGGCGGGGAAGCGAAGGCGCACCTGCGGCCGACCCATGGCGCTCGCCCTTGGTGTCCTTCTTGAAGGCGTACGAGACAGTGATCGCCTTATTACACAGGTACTGCCCGTTCATGGCCTCAATGGCGGCATCGCTCGCCTCAAACGAGTCGTAGCTGATGAAGCCGAAGCCCTTGGAGTTGCCGCTCTCAGGGTCGCGCATGATTTTTGGGTTCGACAGGATCACGCCGAACGCGCTAAACGTGTCGTGCAGCAGCTTCTCGTCCACCTCCTCGTCCAGGTTGCCAATGAACAGGTTGGCGCCCACGTCCGCAGTGCGCCGGTCGCTGGAGGCCTTGTTCACGCGGATGGGCTTCCCGTACAACTTGATCATGTTCATCACCTTCACCGCCTGCAACAATGCATGCCAATCTGCCGCGCATCAGCTCAAGCATCGGGTGGCAGCTGGCTTCAACAACCAAAGCGCTGGGATCGGCCACCCGCATTGTGCGATGGATTATGGCCCAAGTGGGGCAATCCAGATCAAGAAATCGCGGCCACCGTCAGTTGCGGCCGCGCTTCAAATTTTGTCACCTTCTTGGAATCCACTTACTCAGCGTGAAAAGATGCACAGAAAACTGCGCAGAAAACAGCGCAGCGCACCGAACACTACCCGAAGGCGCCAATATGGAGCAGGTTTCTAGGGATGCCACCCCTTACATAGTCGGCGTCCTCTTCGCTGCGGAACTCCACAAAGCCATAGCCCTGATGCAGGCTGGTCACACGGTCCTTCGGCACATACACATTCACTGCAAAAATCAAGCCGGTCGTTGCAGAAGTCAGTAAGATATCAGTACCTTGGCGCCCGTCAATCAACACCACCCCAGACTGTAAGTCGGCAAAGTGGTGGAGTCTCCCACCATGATGCCCCTTCCTGACAACGCCAATGCATGACACTGCACTTTCTAATGCAGATATCAATTTTCAGAATTACGGACATGTAGTGAAGATGTAATCCTTCAACGCAGCAGAAGTTCAGCACACAAATGCAGCTGCTATTGGTGCACGAAACCAATTGCTGAACCCCTTACAGGAGCAGCCAATGGCAACTTACCAACAGGCCCCGCCTGGACAAACATCTCCCAAAGAAGCTCCTCTGTGACCTGAACACAAGCATACGGGATCAATTTAAAACGACATCTAAGAGACTTACACAAGTTCCAAACTTGATTTTCATACGACTTTTAGTAAATGTTGGCGAGCTTCAAGTGTACAACCTACGATCAAAACGACCATTACCAAAACAAGGGCGGGAAGTCAACATTCTGACTCAGCTAGCAGAGGGCCATAGTCTCAAAGACTGATAGACACATACAGCAATTTTACCAACTTTCGACATGCCCCTTTCAAGCTGCACCCCACCATTGCTTAGATACATAATCAAACCCACACCACATTTGCTGCGCCTCACTTGTGTGTCCAGATTGCCCACGTAAGCGGTTGCATCCTGATTCCGCTCCGCAGCATGCTGGCCCAGCAGGTTGGCTCCCACCCCGGCAGTCACCCTCGTCGACATCTCTCAAGAGCCTGGGGCGGCGTCTCACAGGCCCCGATCAGCATGTGATGCTTCAATTCTTCGAGGCTACACCACCATTCATCAGCTGGACCCGCTTCAGATCGGACTTCATCCAGCAGCCCTAGTCCTTATACCTAATGGCACCCTCAGTGCTCACGAGACAGGATCAAAACATTCATTTCATCATTACCGTAGTGGCACGACCCATTCGCACCAAGCTCTTACGAAAATTATTTTTTTCGCTTTTCTGATTTCGCACCAAGGTTCGGGGGGATATTTTCTTATCGCACAAGGGCAAATTTACAGTGTTTCAGCCCATTTCTACGCGATTTCAGGCTTCATTTGGGTTTATTTCCATTTCGCTCTTTCGCACCAAGGTCAGAATAGTTTCCGGAATTTTTCGCACCAAGGCCTTTCGAATTATTTTTGGTGCGAATGGGTCGTGCCACTACGGTATCATGACAGTGCTGCTGCAGCTTCCGAAACACCTACGGTAACCATGAATCCTGCTCCGGATTTTGCCAACTCCGGATTTTCGACTGCCATTCATCGAAGAGGAATTGGACCCCGGTTTTTCTACATCCCCTAAGCTGGCATCACCCGGGCCACTCTAACAACAAATGCTAGCCTAGCCTGCCCCCGGTACAGGCAGCCGGAGTACCCGGGCGGCCGGTCGAGCATTGGCCAGGGCCCTGGGCCTTGGTTAAAAGGGCATCTGAGCTGGGTTACCTATGCTTCCAAGGACAGTACTAACCCGTAGAATGGGGCGCCCATGGTTCTGGGCCATATGGGAGTGCTTCAGCCTTCTCCGAGGTCAGGAACTGAACCGGTGACTTTAATTTAACAGCACGTTACAAAGTAGGTTAGGCCGGAAACTTTCAAATCATCCATTAGCAACTGCCCGGTAGAAGCAGCTTTTCGCGCGTCCTCGCACCGTGAGCTGTTGCAAAAATCCGGGGTTGGGAAAATCCGGAGCAGGCTTCATGGTACGGTATTCTTCCGAAGCCTGCGAAGGATTCCAACCATTTCGGAAACCCCCCGCCAAAAGCTGAAGCATCCGCCAATGATATTGTAGCCTGCATATATGAGAGAACTCTCGGTCATCGACAAGATGACACGTAAGCAACTTTAGATTCGACGGGGATTCTCATTCTGGTTACACAGGTCTACAGACTACATTTGCCGAGCACCTGCTGGCAGTGTAGGCTCGGTGCAGCAACAGACTCGGACAGATCTTTCGGCACTTGCAAACTTTGCTGGTGCGACAGACGAGTGAGCACCAAGGGCCCAGACGCTCCAAGTGTTTTGGCATCAGGCGGTGGTGTTCCTTGTCGCGCTTGCCTTTTGTTGTCGGGCTCAGAGACACGATGGTGGCAACTTTGGTGGCGGTGGCCTACCCGGTAAGTTCACGTCTTTTGTTGCTTACTTTGAAGTGGGTTGGCAACCATATGCAAAGTGCCTCTTTACGTCCATGTTCTCAAGCTTTAGGTTTGCGCTCTTCCTGCTCTTGGCATTGCACAGCTTGAGTGGATTTTGCTGATTGCACATGGGGCATGAGTTATTTCACAAGACACTGAATATGGAAAAGAAGTATGGCTACTTGGCAAGGGTCTCATGGCGGGGGAAGCCGAATCATTTGAGGTTTCCTTTTCAACACTCAAAGAAATGTTCATTCTTTCCATTTCCTTCTTGTGTCCTGAAACTGGGCTTGCCGGACGGCCTGAAGGCTGTTACCAGCTAAAGGCAAGGACTTATTGCCACACCGCCCTTGCAGGTTGGGGTGGCAACGGTGGTGGGTTTTGGGGTGTTGGCGTGCATCCTGTCATGGCAGCACGAGCGTCGGCAGGGTGGCAAGGACACAGTGGAGTTCTTCCTGACCGCCAGGAACTCGGTCAGCGCGTTTACCATCGGGTGGAGTTTCTACGCAGCGGCCATGGTGAGTTGTCAAGAATGGTGAAAATACGCAGCGGCCATGGTGAGCTGTCAAGAATGGTGAAAACTCTTCAGCAGCATAGTGGTTTCAGGATGTCAAAAGATACATAGGCTGGTATATGTCTTGTTGACTGCGCTGAGCTTTTGGGGATAGCCAACTCTGTGTTCAGGCCTCTGAGTTGTCAAGAACTAGCTCTGCTCGCTTCCACAGGCTCAACGACTTGGCCTTTACAATTTAAGTCCGATTTCTGTGGCGTTGATATAGTAGCAACATACATTGCGACTTGTACATCAAGGAGGTAGCTCATTCGCCCAATTTCTTTGCTGTTTAGTACCTTTTACCTGCATGTCGTTGTACAGAAGATTGGAACACTGGCTCACCCACGTTTTTGCCAGTCGGACGTTGTGAAATGCTGAGCATGACATTTCCACCAACTCCTCGTTGTTTTTCAAGTTGTGCCCCCTAGAAAAGGGAAGGTTTGAAGGACTTCACTACTTTTCTGGCAATGCTTCTCTTGTCTTCCTTCTTCCCTGCCTGCGCTGTGTGCACTGCGAGGTTACTGATGCGCGTCCCCCCCTCTTTTCCAGGGCTCTTGGGCGCTGTACGGCCCGCCTAGCTACGCAGTGAGCGCCGGCATCTTGGGCATCACGTTCTACTCCATTGCGAGCGGCATACCCATCATGATTGTGGCCTTCCTTGGAGACATTCTTCAATCGAAGCTGCCGGGCATCCTCTCCCTCAGCGACTACACCTACAAGCGTTTTGGCCGGTATGTTCGCCAGCCCACTTCTGAAGAGAAGACCGCATGCCTGGCCTGGTCTTGCAGAACCAGCCCCAGCGTTGCAAGTGGTTGTGATCAGAGAGGGGTAGGATACTTCTGTGTCCCACAGAAATAGTTCTGTGTCCCAGAAGTGGAATGACATGATGATTGACTGGTCAGCTCGGGGAACTGTTGCATCACGTAGCAAGGCCTAGAAACACCCGAGCAGTCCTTCAATCTTGGTACTGATCCAGTCTCTTTGCTTTTCTCAGGTTTGTGCAGCTCTATGTTGCTACCATGATGCTGTTCAACATGGGTAAGTGTAAACACAACGACGGCCCCGCCCATTGATCGCCTGCTGGCTTGAAGAGGGCCAGGCAGCACCTCTTGTATCCTTGGTTGCCTCAGCTGCAGCGTTCTGGTTTGGTTTAGGTGTTGCAACGTACTCTATCATCCTCACAATACCGTGTAACGTGTCGGCACTCGCATCCGCTCCCCAAGTTCGTCGAATTGTGGAGGCTTGCAGCGCTGACCTTGTCCTAGCGCAGGCATTGCCCTGACTGCGGAGTACACGGCTGTTGGCGACCTGTTTGAGAACACGGTGGGCAGCAAGCGGTGGCCCATCGTGGTCATCATTGCGGTTGTCGCCACCCTGTACACCGCGTACGGCGGCCTGCTCATCTCCATCATCACCGACCAATGGCAGGTGAGCACACACATACGCTCCGATGGCGCCCAACATTGGAACACACAGGCGTGCAGGAGCAGTAGTTCAGGCGTTGTTTTTGGTGCAGTGTTCTCCCATTTGTCCCTCGAGCGTTCCTCCTCCTGAGGCGTCCCCTTGCGTTGTGCTGTGTTGCAGGCGTTCCTGAGCGTGATTGTAGTCCTGATCCTGGTGGTGTACGTGGCGGTGGACTTCCGGACCCCGCTGCCGCCCATCCCGCACTACCTGGGCCCGGGCAACTACAACGGGCTGTCGGCTATTGCGGTGATGCCCATCAGCCTGATCAGCGCCACCATCTTCAGCGAGGCCATGTGGCAGCGCTGCTGGGCCTCAGCCAACAGCCGCGCATTGCACACCGGCGCGCTCCTCGGGGCGACAGCTACCATCGTCGTCGTTTTCATCTTTGCGTTCGGAGGTGAGCAGTCGATACGCACGCTCTTGGACCCGCCAGAAAAAGTTTGGAACCGTCGATCGATGGGGGCAGCCCCCAATTGTGACCCTTTGGATCGTCCGATGGGGTTAGCATAAAATGCTCTCTGGCAACCGCAAATGCGGACCCTAAAGTTTGCTGGCGACGCCTTCCGGTAATTAGACTGAGGGCGTCGCCGCGTTCCCGAATTTTTGTCTTGACACAGCCTGCCAACTGGGCACAGAAAAGGACGGTGGTGTCAAAGCCCCAGAAGCGTGCGTACTGATTGTGAGCGACCACTGCAAAGCTGGGCACTTGCGCCTGACAAAACGGGCTGAGCTTTGTGCGTAGTATTTACGCGTGGAATTTATTGGTAGGACAATTTTTCGTGGTTGGCGTGCTGCTACTTAGGGGTAAAACTTCGAGCCACTGGATTTCAAAGCAAGGTGCGTAGTGTCTCGTGTCTGTCTTTAGTCATTTGTTTACCGTTTGGTTGGTACCACACTGAGAGCCTGAGCTCCTCGCCACAGCTTGCGAGATTCCACTTGTGCGGCCAGCCCGTGGTTGTTTGTAAAGTCACCGGCTCTGTCACTGACCCCGCCCCTCTCGTCCTGCGCAGGCTACCTGGCGGTGTGGAGCGGGCTGTTCGACGTGAACGACCCGAATGCGGACTACAACACGATCCTGTTCTTGCTGTTCAAGGACCGCACGTGGCTGCTGGTCATCGTGGCCGTGCTGTCCGCCACCATGAGCACCAGCGCGGTGGACAGCATCCAGAACGCCATCACCGATTCCGTCGGCGCCACGCTGGTGCGGCCCTTCTTCAAGCGGGCCGACGTCACCTGGATCCGCGGCCTCGTCGTGCTGCTCAACATACCCCCCGTCGTTGTCTCCCTCAAGGTCAGTGCACCGTGCGCGCCTGGTCGTGCACCAGAAAAGACGTAGTGATACTTGAGATTGTGCTTGTCGGAGTTCGGATCGATGTTGCCCCCCACCGGCTGTTTGCATCCGCCCGAACGGGCATGCTGCGTTTCACATGCTGAGGAATCCTTGTCACCACAGATGAGGGCGGGCTGGCGTAAGTCTGCGAGTGCCGCTTTGTCGTTCGGGATGCATTCTTTTTCAGTAATGAAATTCTCATTCCGTCGAGATTCTCATCTTAGAGGCTTTGGTTCCCTTGCTGTCGAGAGACACCGGGAGGCCCTCGAAGGTGCGCTGCCGCATATCCCCCGGCCTTACGTCTCTGTTCATCCCGCGTCCTGCATGTTTCGCCTGCGGCCTTCTGCGTGTTGACTGTGGGTGCTGTGGGCCCGGTATGCAGGGGTACAGCGTGCTGCAGCTGTTTCTGATGGCCAACCTGATCACGACCACGACCACCATCCCGCTGATGGCCGGCCTCTGGCACGGCCCGCGCGGCCAGAAGGTGGTCACGCCCTTCTCCATGATGACCGGCTCGCTTGTCTCCGTCTCGTCGCTCTTCTGGTGGGCCGCCATCAAGCAGACCGCGGACCAGACCTACCGCGCCGCGCTCTACCGGGTCTTCTTCGTCGCGTGAGTGCCTCCACGACTCTTTTTTGAACCTAGCGGGCACGCTCCGTGGGCTCTTAAAAGCATTCTTAACGCCGCCTACACTGTACGAGAGCAACTCACTGGCCGAACGTGTCTGGATTCTCAAGCAGGAGAGGAAGCACGTCTCATGCACTTCCTCGCTGTTCAGGTACGACTACCCGCCCTTTTTGATTGCTTTGGGCATGTCCATTGCGGGCTTGGTTGTGGGGGCCGCCCTCGAGGCGGCGTTCCGTGCGGTGGTCCCCGGCTGCGGGCGGTACCCCGTGTATGCGCTGGACGACAATCGCGAGGGGCTGGACGCGCGCCTCGGGGTGCGCCTCGGGGACGTCACGCAGGACTCGGTGCCCGAGTATCCGGCTGCGGGCAAGGGGGCGGATGCGTACCCAGCTGGCAAGCAGTACGAGGCGTGAGCAAGTTTTCGGAGCACCATAGGTTGAGAAGAGGTAGGGTAGATGTAGACGTGTTGTTCTTAGGACCAGTCAAGTTGCTGCAGCGCAGGTGGTTTAATGTTGCGTGCGTTGGCCACTCTCATCCGGTTTCCAGATCAGCTGGATCGAAATGACCAGCGGTGGGGGTTGGCCCGTTAGGGCTGCCGCTGCCCATATACAGCCGGCGAGATGCGTCAATCCAGCACCAAGCCGTGCTCGAAAGACGCAACAGGCCTACATACATTGAGGTAATAGACACTCCAGAATAGCCCCAAGCATGCAGCCTCATTTTTTCCAGGGTGTGCAAGTGAAGTGCCAAGGTACGGACTCTCTGTCGCGCTGGCTCTAAAGAACGTTCAGTCAAGCCAGTATTTGTGCTATTGGCATTTGCTGTTAGGCGCTAGACTGCTTCGCATAAGGTTTTGAGTATTTCGTTGTCACATCAGGCTTGATGATCAGAGTCCAAAGGTACTTGCTTTGCATGTTGCGCAATGGTTTTTGGTGTACAAGTTACATAACCATGCTGCCCTTGACGATTTGATCGAGTCTATTTAAGGACAGCCACGTAATGTCATTAAGCAATAGCAAGCGCTAGCCAGGCTGCCGATGCAGGGTTCGGAGATCGATTGCATATTCTGCGTGTTATACGTTTATGCACATGTTTGCATCTACTCACACAATTGCTGGTAGATCGATCGTATGAATTAAGAGAGTGTGTACATATTCATGTGCCACATGGTGATTTACGACAACCTGATGCATGTTTCAACAACGTCAAATCTTTTTATCGTGCTGCCAGTCTCACAAGATACCCCAAAAAAGCCGCTGTGGCTTAATTCATTGCATGCTTGCATCTATGACCTCAACCATCTGTGACCAATTGTTTCATTTGGAACTAATCAAAGTGGCAGTATCCACCTTGCAACCTGATTGGTGAGTTATAGGACAGCAGAGGGTGGTTCAACACCCTCTTTTGCATTCCATGGCTAATTTCAATCATGGCCTAGCCCATGACCCTGCAAGCTATGCCTACATGAGTTATCTTCAACTGTCCTTCCCAAATCCGCTTATGACATAGTGGCCGCTACCTCTGAATATTCAAGAGTGCTTTCGCTTCCGTCTCTTCTTTGATGAGCGCCTCACTGGCATACTTACTCAGAAGCTCCTGCTTCTTCCTTTCTAGAACCATCCGCTCAATCTCCTTTTCATCAGGGAGAGGAACATGCGCCACAAACTCCCTCCTCGCAGGCTCCTCCAAGGAAACCCCCGGCCCATCCTCACGCAACAACTCTGCAAGGTTGGCTTAGACGTGAGATTAGATGAAAGACAGAGTGCGTTGGCTATCGCTTACCCTACACTGCGCAACCAAGATTGGCTGGTAGAGCAAGAGTAAGAATCAACACTGTATGATGCTGGAAACGGCTAGGCTTCAAACATACTTCGATGGGCCTGTTTCAGCTGTTGCGATTGAACGGCTGAAACTCCATTTGAGCAAATTGAATTGCAAGGACATAAGGTGATTTTGAAATTGATCAACAAGAGTGATGTCAGAAAGCCTTTTGAAACCAGGTTCAAGAACCAGACCTTACAGCCTATATTTGAGAAAAGTATGTATTCATCATTGACACCCGTCTCAGGCAACATTTGCAAGCAACGTGAACGCAACACCGCCACCAAACCAAGCGGTGACCATGCCACACGGGCTCTTTGCTCCCTACTTTCAACATGAAAAAAGAACTTGTAAGAAACAATTGCGGTGGACATGTCATATGAGCGGGGCTAACATCTGTTCATTGGGGCACTTGGCTTGAAACACATCGTCTTGCTTACCTTCCAAGTCCTTGTCTGCCTCCTCGCTTGCGTGCACCGGCTGCACTGTGACCACCTCCCCGCTCTTAACGCTCCGCTTGGCCTCCTGCTTGATGGCCTCCACCCGCTCCCACTCCCGGATGGCCGCCTCCCGTGCCGCCTTCTCTGCTTCCGCCTCTAGTTGCACCAAGATGCCATCCTCGTCATCCCGGTAGCCGTAGTAGTCCGCATCGATGCGCTTGAACATCTCATACCTGGAGGCCAGAGAGCACGTTCGTAGGATTGCTTTCAGAAAGACTTCTAGAGGGTTGGCAAGAGCAGGTCCTGTTGGTTGCGGAAGCTTTCAGCTTGGACGCAAGGAGAATGTGGCTTACTGGGTTGTTCTTGTCAAACAGCAAATGCGGCAGGGGAGTGGAAAAGGCTCCGCCAGTCCTGTGTTGGATATGAAGAAGTCGATGCAAAGCAAACACCTTGTGCAGGTCTGGGCGCGTCAATCTTTTTGTCATAATGAACTGGACGCCACCCCTTTCCTACATTAGCAACTTTATCTTCTCTTGTAAGGCAGCATAACAAACGCGAAGACTGTCGGTGCCCCTTGTTAAGGCTCAAACAGCCCTTCTTCTTTTCTTTGAGGGGTGGTGGTGGTAGTGGTGGTGATGGTGCTTTCATTTTAAGACATAAGATCCCCAGATTCCCATCCAATGCTTGCCTGAACGCTTGCTTACAAAGCAGCCTTGCAGATTTTGCCTGAGGGGCAAATTGACCTGTCGCCAAATAACAGATTGATAGTTTTGCAGGAGCCTGCTGACGGCCCCAAGACAAAAAGAAGCTTCTTATCATCACCTTGATCTGCGTTTCTTGGGCTCTGGCGGCTTGTCAAACAACTCCCGCACCCCCGGCAACGTCTTGGCTGCCCCAAAATATTTGTACCCCACACCCTTCCCCGTGGCTGCGTCCACCTCATTCCCATCCGAGTCCGTAATCTTTGGACCTGTTTTGGCATAGTCTGGCCCGCCGAGTTCCAGAATTCTTGCCTCCCAGTGACCCTTTTCTCTGATCAGCTTGTTGATTTCGTCATTCAAGTCCCGCAACCGATGCTCCCCCAAAGCTGGATTCTGGATTTCTGAAACCTTCCTTCCAATCTCCTTCAGAATCTGATTGCGCCACCGCTCGGCCGTAGGCACATCCGACACTTCGCTTGCTAAGAAGGGTCGCTTTTCTTTTGGCTTTGCATTTTCTTCTCGCTTGGCCTCCAGAAAACGATTGAGCATCGCCTGCGCCTTCTCCTCATTCCGCGCCATGATTGCCGCTTATTTGCAGCGCTTTAAACCGGGTGTTGTACTTCAAGGTCCGCCGCAACTGCAGACTGGGTCCAGAGCTGGAAATTATGGTTCTCTACCACGCGCCCTTCGTTCACTTGTCACCGCCGCCTCCTGGACCTCTTCCTCACCTCTTCTGACCTGAGCCTGAGGCTGTGGCCCTGGGGACACCGAAACAGCACTCGGTGCTGGCAGCCCGCGCGCGCCCTGAGCGCGCGAAATGCGGCCAAGCCCGACTGCCCTGCAACAGTTTGACTTTGATCGGACGGCTTCAAGAGCCTCTCCTTGGTGTATACACAGAAAGGCTGACACGCGCGCGTAGCGGAGAGTTCCGACGGCTGGTTCCGACAGTGCTCAGTGGCCGACTCCTGCCTTATCTGCCCTAGTTCTGCTTGCTCAGGTCAAAGCGCACGCTACAGCTAGTAGGGCCAAGGCGTGGCAACTGAGCATAGTAGGCCTGGGTATCAATGTGGTAGAGAGGTTTCGGCGGAGAAGATCGCGCTGAGGTGAGGTGAGGTGAGGTTTTTGGCCAGTGCCAATCAGCAACTTGATCAGAGGCTGACTTTACACAAGCTAGGGTCGTCGCCGTAGGTCTGAAGCAGAACGAGTTACATGTATTAGGCGTGGGCAGGTCAAGAATCTGCATCAGCAGGGCTGGCAGAAAGTGTTCCTTGATGGTCAATGTCACTGGACCTGAGCTGTAGAAAAGGAGCCTGCTGACAGGAGCTCGCGTGTGCCCACTTTCAGGGGCTGCCAACCTGCGCTGTCAGCTGTATGCAGTGCTGGCAATGTGCCCCGTATGGACCTGCTCTCCTGGGACCACCACGAGGAGCACGAGAACCTTGAGCCTGCACCTGAGGTCAGCAGCAGCGGCTCCGAGGCGAGTGTGATTAGCAAGCGCAAGAAAGCAGCAGGCCGCCCGCGAGAAAAGGCTGCCAATGCCGACGAGGATACAAGCTCCGGCCCGCCCTCTCCCCCGCCTAAACGGTGAGGTGCTAGTAGTAGCTCGCTCATGGATCCCGCAAGAGAGCCTGCTGAGCTCAGCGGCACGCTCAACCAACGGTAATTGACAGCTCCTGGGAGGACAATATGCACGAATTACAGCAGCAGGTTTAAAAGGCTCGCAAGTGTAAACATCTGCGGAGTTTGCTAGGGCTCTACGGTATATTTGGAGCCCTTGGGGAGGGCAGCATTCCCTGCAATGCTTCCGTGGATGTCAACTGCTGTCCAGTTCTGCGGCATGCTCGCTGACCATGTCTTTGCTGTGTGCCCAGGTTGGGGGGGCAGCTGGCGGCGGCGCTGCCGGTGTTGTCGGACATTGCGGAGCTGTACGAAGCGAGCCAGGCGCATAAGCGGGCCAACCAAGAGGCCATCCAGCAGCTGCTGGCCCAGGTCAGTGTGCCACTGTGTACACCGCCAGCCATGACGCACGAGAAGAGTCAGCAGGCAACCAGAAGCACCGGCCATGACGAAATGCTGATGGTGGTAATTCTCTGCGTGCGCACTGGTTTGCCCTGACTGCTGTGTGCCTCGTTGGTCCGTGCAGATCCACAGCCTGCAGCGGCAGCTCCTCCAACCTCTCCAAGGCAAGGCCCCGCTCGGACGCTTCAACCCCCACCACCCACGACATTGACCCGTCAGCCATCCGCATCTCTGCCACTGCCATGCAGCAGCCCTACTGGCGTTCTTCCACATGCGATTGTGTTTTGTCTGTCAGCCATGCCTGCCCCTCAGACTCGCTGCTTGTCCTTGCAGATGCGGGTCCCAGCGGGTCCACTTCGGAGCTTGAGGCAACAGTGGCGGGGCAGGTCAACAAACTGGACAAGCAGGTGAGCGGGGCGCAGGACAGCGCGAGTGTGCTGGGGGGTGGACCGATGCCTGGAGGGGGCACAGTGTGTCAACGTAGGGGCATGTATGCACAAGCCGTGTTGGGTGACGCTGTTGTGGGCGGGTGGCGCAGGTGAGGGAGCTGTCGCGCGAGTACGACCGGCTGCACCGCATCATCGAGAGCCGCGAGGGCCAGCTGCACAACCTGCACGTGCTCGAGCACACCAACAAGCAGGCAAGCCGCGCAACTAGGCCCACTCCGCGCTGCACTCTCTGTGCCATGTCGCCATCACAACCACAACGCACGTCATTGTCCTGCAAGCGCTCCCTTGCCTGGACTCCTTCGTACTACACATAACGTGAACGTCCAATTCGGCGGTGGTTCTGCAGATCTATGCCGCTATTGTGGTTGGCCCCAGCCCTGATGCGCTGCGGCTGGATGCCCACCTCCGCTCCGAGGACCACCCGGATGCCCAGGACGCAACCACCAGCACGCCCACGCTGCCCGCCATTCAACGGTTAGGAAGGCGGCCCCCTTGCTTAAGTACAGGACATGATGGCTCAGGTCAACAAACTGATTCAATCAGGAGTGCAGAAGCGCTTCATCGCTTGATTCCTGATAGGTTGTGTAGCCCAGTTGACGCATTCTATGGGCTACATGTCGATGAAGGCAGTTGTAAAAATGGTTGCACTCGGCAGATGGTGACGCTTGCCTTTCCCTGCCTGTGATCAACTGACACAGCGCCCCGTCACTGTCAGGAAACCCCACCGCGGCCCTTCGCCCTACATCTCCCGCGCGCGCAGCGCCTCTCCTCGCCACGGCCCTCCTTCCCCCCTCAGCAGAAGCGCGGAGTGGGCTACCCCCAGAGGCAGTGCGGGCGTGCATGAGAGCCGGTCCGTGGACTTTGGACGCAGTAGCAGGCAGGCCGCCCGGGGCCGCAGCCAAACGTCCCTGGGACACTCCCGAGCGCACGAGCCGCGTGCGGCGGGGGGTCGGCAGCTAAATAGTGCTCGAACAAGCTCCACGCATGCACACCATGCGCCGTCCACGAATGGGGGGGTCAATTCCGTACACAGTAAGACGGATGGTGCTGAGGCAGAAGACGGGGAGGAAGCAGGGGGCGAGATGGATGACTTGGAATGGGACGTGGCGCCGGAGCAGGCGAGCATGCTGCGCGAGGCGTACATGCGGGGGCTGCTGGCGGACACGCGCGCGTTTGTGGCAGGGCGCAGGGAGGTCCTGGCCGTAGGGAAGACGTTCCTGCAAGTGGCGGCCAGGCTGGAGGTACGAAAACGAGAGGCGGCCAGGGCACGCAGCCACGAGCAGGGCATGCAGCGCTGTCTGGCCGTGCGGGATCGCGATGACCATTCCTTCTGCTGGAAGCCAGCTGCTGCAGGAGCCAGTTAGGAAGGGTCCTTGAGATCCACGTCCCGTTGAAGCATATCGCAGCAATTGTTGCAAAGGCACACAAGTCCATGGTTCCAATTTTTATGACAGATTATGGCAAGTTCGGCCCGGAGAGCAGCACAGAGTGCACACAAAAGTGGGCCAACTTTAGGTCCGGAGCTAGCGGGGCCCTATGTGTGGCACTAGCAGTTACTTACCTTCTTGTGGTTGGATACTGCAGAAGGAGCGGTTGGCGCTGAACCCGACGGTGCAGGCCGCGCAGGCCGCCCTACGGCAGGCCCACGAGGAGACCCTCAAGATGCTGGCCACGTACAAGGTGAGCACGCAGCAAACGGGGCACCGCCGCCTACATGACGTAGAGTCTAAGGTTTCTGGGAAAGGTCACAGCAGTATGCTGGATTTGAAGCATTGTTGCCGTGTGCGCAAGCGACCCGCCGTTTGCCAGTATGGCAGGGGCTGTTTTTTGTCGGGTACGGTGACACGGTGTGCTGGCGGGGTGCAGGAGGCGGAGCATGCGCGGGAGTTGGCGAGCGGGGCGCTGCGGCTGGCGCAGGCGCAGCTGGAGAGGCGGCGGAAGGACTGGGCGCGCCGGCTGGTGGAGAAAGACCAGGTCAGACCACGCACCCGGCTGAGGCTGCTCTGTCGTTCCATCCTGTTTCAGGAGCATCTTTGGCTTACGTCGAGAGCCGTCCGCGGGCATGGGTGGCTGACGTGTGGGTGCGCTGTGGTGGGCAGGTGAACCAACTGAAGGGGGACGTGCGCGCGCTGCTCAAGTCGCGGGAGCAGCAGCGGAAAGCCATCCAGGCCAAGGCGCAAGGCCGGCGGGAACAGGTGAGGTGCGAGGAGAGTTCAGTTGGACATTTGGAACAAGGGAGAGGAGAAGGACGGGTCCGGGGCACGGGCGGCAAATGCCGACGAATTGGGAGCTTCGAGTCTACTAGTCGAACGCTGCACGAGGGGTTCTCGTTGACGATTCAGACTCCTTCGCATGACAAAGTGAGGGCCAGAGATGCCACTTCAAGGTTGACGCTGTTCTGCTCCTCTTTATGACGCCCTGCGTGCTCCATCGTAGGAGGCGAAGGCCAAGGCGCAGGCCCTCGCGCGCGCCCTGGGGGCGGGCGCCGGGTCGGGCGCGGCGGAGCGGGTGGACGTGGAGGGCGAGAAGCTGAGCAAGCGGTTCAGCATGATGATGGCCGCCTCGGGGTGCAAGAACCTGCGCGACCTCGTGTACAAGGTCTGCACGCAGACCGACCAGCACGCGCACCTCACAGGTACGCAGACCGCGGCGCCGCGCATGGCCCCATGCGCAGTCACCTGTTGAAATGTCGAAATGTTGAAATTTGAGGGCGGCCGAAAGCTTGCCTTGACAGAACTACGTCTTTTCGTAACAAGACAAGCGCCGCCGGCACGGCCACGCCGCAAGCTTTCAGCCGCTGGATAGGACTCACTTTCCTGATTCCCTTTGTTGTGTTGCAGTGGACGCGGAGGACAGCAAGGCCAAGGTGGCGGCACTGCGGGGTGAGTCAGCATGGCCAGCGACTATCTTCCCACGAGTGGCCTCGTCCGCATGTATGCCTCTTTCGTTTCCACCGTCTCAAGCACGTCTCGCAGACTGCTTTTGTTCTGTCGATAAGTTTGTTGACCGCTTTGCGTTTGCGTGGCTTTCAGAGGAGGCGGCCCGGCTGCAGTCGCAGCTGCGCGACCTGCACTTCGTGGAGGCGGGCATGCTGGACAACCGCAAGAAGATCGACCTCGCGGGGGAGGCGCTCGCGCTCGCGGAGCGAAAGGCCGCCGACGCCACCCTCCGGTACGCCCCCTCCCCAATGGTTCCTCCCCGCGTGTGTGCAAAGCGCGCCGGCCCCACTTGAAGGCTGCGCTGCGGGCTGCCTGCGACTGTGGTGTCTTCTCCAATGCAAAGTTCCTTTCGATGCAGCTTCGATCCACGCCAGTAGTGCACTAGGCTTCCCATGATGCTGCTTGGAGTGTCGCATGGCCCTCAAGCTCCAGCTGACACTCCGCGCGCGGCGGCTGGCAGGTGCGAGCGCGCGTTCCAGGTGCTGGCGAGCTCGCGCACCGGCATCGAGCACCTCGCGCTGCAGCTGGGCCTGCCCAAGCTGCCAGACCCCAAGCCCGCGCAACCCCGCGCCAGCCTCACCACGACGCGGCCGCTCCTCGCCNCACTCCGCCTCACTCCGCCCACCGCGCCACCGCCGCCCG